TGGCTAGTAAATACTGGATTAAGGCAAAAATTATAACCCAGTTGGTTTGGTTTTAAAACCCAGCTCTTCTGAAACTGAACAGGGCTTTCTCGTGTGTTTAAAATAGCAGAGAGCTTGCCCTTGTAAAGGAGTAGGTGTTCTCTTCTAACGGGGATGTGCCCAAGCCCTAACCAAAACCCACTTGTGCTGGTAGGAACCCGAAAGCAATGCTATGATTTCCTGACAGCTTTTGAGCAGCACTGGCCATCCTGAAATCCCAGGTCAGCCCTGCCACGACGGGCACTCCTCTTTTGGTACGTGTTTTACACGAGGAGTTCCCCCTGCTCCCCAGCTCCTCCCTTCAGCATCCCTCCCCATCCCTCACGGGGTAAAACCACGCTTTAAGAAGCCCCGGGGAAACCTGAGGGCTGACACTTGTGGCACGGAGCCGTCCCCAGCACGCTGTGCCACTGCTGCAGTGGGCCATGGCTGGCAGCCCCCCCGCCCGCCGGCTCCGGGAGCAGCCTTTAATGTCACAGGAGGAATCCTGCTTGCTTTGCCCACGGTAGCGGGCAGCCCAGAGGGAAAGAAGAAGATGGATTTAACCCACTGATAATTAAACCCTTCGCATCACCTGGGAGCAGGGTGAAAATGGCACGTTACCCTCCTTTTGGGTAATGTAAGAGCAGGGATATAGAGGTATATAGGTAAGGCAGGGGGAATCTAGGGGCTGTTTGCAACAGCAAAAACCCCCGTGTTACTGCTCAGACAGTCACAGTGAGACAGGAATGAGTCAAATTAAAACGTCACCTCCCTACCGTGACAAGTCATCTCTCTCCGGTGCCCCACCAGTCTGTTCACCAAACGCTGTTGCAGGCTTTGGGCCGTAGTTCAGTCAGCGACAGCCCCGGATCTCCGAATGCCCGCGCAGACCGGCAACGCCGCAGCTCGGGGCAGCACCAGGCACAGCAGAAATCTGACAAAACCCGACCGCAGGGCCCGGCGCTGGCAGATGGTTTGGTGGCTGGAGGCGCTGATGCTGCGCGGTCCCTGGGGGCAAGGGAGAACGGACGAGAAGGTCAGACCTAAGCATCCCTCCCGCCTGCTCAGCCCACGTGCCCGATGCCGGCTCAGCCCCTCGGGGGTCATTCTGGGTGGCCTCAGAAAAGGAGGGCTGAGGGAGGATGGGGACACGGAGTAGGGCTGGAGAGCAGGACAAACTCTGCCTTAACGCAGCGCCTTCCTGAAGGCCAGAACATCTCCACGCACGCCCCAGCCCTGCTTCCCTCCCTTCTGCCTGTGAGCCCGATGGGGACGCGGGTTCAGTGCCTCAGACGCAGAGCGTGTCAGCGTTGGGAGAGGTTGAGCAGAGGAAAGGGCACGTCGAGGAGCAGCCGTAAGCAACAGCCTGTTCCCCCCTTCTGTCCCCACGTCCCTCTCTGCTCAAGCAGAAAGTGCCTTGAGGAGCAAACTCCGGCACCTGGCAGACACCAGTAGTGAGGCTCAGCAAGGGAGCAGACCAGCTTAGCTTGAGTTTAAAAGTACTTACAACAGGCCCGAAATCTGTAGGCTTTTTTGGCTCCAGCACCATCTTTAGCAAGGACAATTTGTTGCTCAGATGTTCCCAATTCCAGGCTGTTGGGATTTGCATGTGTAATTCTCAGGCTCATTTAGAGTTCTGTCTTTAGTGGCCAGCTGCAAAGGAAAAGAGAGAAGCCCACTCTCTATAAATACAGCTCACATCCACCGAAACAGAGAGGACGGGGCAGAGAACTGTTCTGCCAGTGCTGCTGTGGGCTGCAAAGCCCAGCGTGTCCTTTCATTTCTCTGCACCTGAGCTTCCCTGTGCTTATAATGAGGATTTGGGACTGTCTTCCCTTGCTGGAATGCTTGGAGACAAAAAAAGTTGCATCTGCCAGCTGAGTGCTGTAAACAGGTAGTCAGAACTAAACACTGCAGCTATGTAGGAGAGCTGTTAGCCAGAAAATCATGGAAACAAAGGTTTTTGCCCTAGGAGGTTCATTAATATTTAACTGATTTAAAAAAAAAAAAAAGAGTTACCCCAACCTAAGAAGAAATTGGTCTGCTCCTCCACTCTCTTTCTGTAAACCCGTTGCCATCTGAAAGCTATAAATAAAGGCATTTGGGAGGAAAGGCCTCTATTAGCGCCGTTGAAACACGCTCTTGGAAGACCTTTATATAGAGACAGAACACAAACCTTTCTGAAAGGATGGGCCAAGCCTTCAGCTGGTGTAACCCAGCATAATCCCCCTGACCTCCACGGAGCTGCATCGATTTATGCCGACAGAGTATTTGTCCCAACTTTCCATGATGAGGAGAGGCTGCTGCAATATACATATTTTTAATCACTGCGGTGACAGGCAAACAGAAAACTCCGAGTAATAAAAAAAATCAGTTGGTCAGTTGGAGCATCAATACTTACAGCAGGCTTTGGATTAATTTTTCACTTTCATGCTCTGAAGTTGGTAGCCGTGTATAAGCTGGTCATTACGCTGAGGTTAGAAACAGCTGAGAAATACTGGAGCAGATGGAGCTGTGCATAACCCTCCTATAGGGATGGTAGCTACGGAGGGGATCATTTTGATGCATGCATTTAAACTGGCACTGACAACTTTGGGGCTAAATGCATTTTTAAATGTAAAGGAAAATAATTAAAGCTCAGATACACATAAAATAATGCCGGCATTTCCATGTTGAGTCAGTAGGTGCTGCTGGGAATGTGAGAACTCCCAGCATGAGGCCGTGGATGCGCTCTCTGACCCCGCTCTGTGCAGAACTGGGGCAAACACCCGTCCATCCCCGGGGCTGGTATCACTGCTCCCCCCGAGCAGGGCTTTACCCCGCACCCGCAGGGAAGGATGCCGCTGTGCCGTGGGAGGCACCGGGATCCGGCTGCAGAGCTCTGACCTGCGCCCGAGCAGCTGGACCGGGTCCCTGCTGGCATCTCCGGTGGTGGGTACTGGTGGGACCAGTGTCAGCGGCTGGGCGACGCTGGAATGGCATTATCCAGCCTTGTTTCTTCATCTCCATGGAGATGTGCAAGAAGCAGTGCAGATGGAGATATGCAAACCAGAGAGAGAAATAAATCGGAGTTTGAATATGATCAGCCAAGGGTCTGGAGAAGTTTCAGGTGGAGGTTTCTCCCCAGGAGGACCTGGTGGGGCAGCTGGGCAGGATTACATCATTGCTTTATGTTACCTGGCATCTCTCACTTGCGAGATTAAATCTTCTGTGCCCTGCAGCAGAGATACAATGAACTCGAGAAATCGACTTGTCAAGAGAATAAAACCCCAGTGCTCGTGAGGGAAAACACAATCAAAAACAGATTCACCAAAGAAAAAAAGGTTATGCTTTCGGCAGGAAGCAAAGGGAGGTCACTTCACCACGGGCACTTACTGAGATACCCCCCCAGGGGTTCCGAGGAAAAGGCTTCGCTGCCCTTGCGTGGCCCCTGGCCCTTACTTGTGCCGGGAGCATGCGCCTTAGCCCCGTTAAATAGGTTGTCCTCCGACTGGAGCCTGCTCAGCTAAACCAGCAGAAATTTGTCCCTTTTTCTTAACGTCAGTTTTCTGCTGGCTTTGCTCCCTGAACCAGCATGCATCAAACATCGCTGCCGGTTCAAGAGACGCGGCAGGAACACGCAGCTGGAGGATGGGGGGAAGAGGGACCACAGCAGCGTGGCTCCGATGGCTGGGGAACAACGTCTTTAATTTCCTTCCTGTTCTTCGCCGTAACCCTGGCTTGAGTTGCTTGACGTGCCAGCGTAGGTGGGAGAGATGCTGTAAAGGACAAATGAAAATTAAGCAGCTCTGAATATCAGGTTTTTTTCTTTCTCCCAGCCGGTCGCCAGCACAGGCGCAGCGGCGGAGGGAGGCAGGTAGCAGCAGGGATGTGAGGTACCTGAGACAGCTTCTCACTGCGCCCACACATCGCACCGGCACCTGCACCGCGCGCGGTCTGCGTCTGAGCGGGGCTGCTCTGCTGCAGGGAGCTGGGGGAGAGGAAGGGTGCTGGAAAGCACAAAGTCCACCTGGCCTGAGACTGATTAGGAGCTGGCTTTAAGGAATCGGGGCTGAGGATGCAATGGTGCCTGATGCCTGCCTGGAAAGGGTAACGGAATATACCTGTGGCACTGCTGGGTGCATGGGGCTGGAGGCTGCTGTGCTTGGATTTGCTGTCACGGCACAGTCCACTGCGGCGATTGCTCCGGCTTGTGCAGTGGGGCAGCCATCTGGAGGGCTCGGGATAAGCTGGGGGCTGCATTTCACGTGACAGAACAGTAAGAAACACATCTGAATGGGGACGAGGAGGCTAAAACCGACATAAAGCTGCTTGACTGGCAGCAGCAGGGCTGCAGTTGTGCCACGAGAAATGGCTCAAAGTTCCTTCTCCTGGTAGCAAGAAGACATTTGTTAAGAGAGATTCGTTGGCAGCTCCGGTCTCTGGAGATGCCCATACTGACTCTGAAGGTTGCATAAGCGGCAGAAACAGGCCTGTCGGTATTGCAAGCCAGAATCTACTGATTTTGAAGCTGATCAGCTATGGTGAATCCATGAAACCAGATAGGTTGGTTTCTTTTCATGCCTCTTCCCTGCTATTATCAGCAAAGTGTTTACTGGGCACTTTCTGGTCTTTCCTTGGCTCAACACCATCACAGAAAGGTGCTGATGCAGCCAAAGATCATTCCACAGCGTTCTTTCCAAAATCATCCAAAAGGGCAGTTGTTGCCATGCTAATTAACACTGTGCAAGCACTACTAGCCTGGCTGGCACAGAGGGAAGGGGCAACCACCACCAGCAGCGACCGTCATGCAGCCTCTGCTTTTGCTCTGGTCACGGGTTTGTCATAAGGCCTCATTTTTTCCTTCTTGTTACCAGGCTGTGCAGATAAAGCGTGATGGTTTTGAAACCCCAGGGTTAACCACACGCGCTAGAATTAGGCACAGCGCGCTCCACTAAGAAACACAGGCCAGTTTCTTCTTCCCTGTTCCTGCCCACGCTTTTTTCTTCAGCAGGGTGCCCTTCTGAGCCACCCCGAGCACAGCCACGCTGCTCACGACCGCGCGCAGCTTTGCGGTGGGGTTTCTCAGGCTCTGCAGGCAGCATCCTGCCACCAGCGACCTGCCCGGGCCCTGACACAGCTCCACCTTTTCCCTCTGGTTTAAACTCTGGGCAAATCCTGAGAAGGTCCTGCAATTCCGTACTGGTCTAGGGTCAGATATGTCTACTGGGAATGCAGATGGGGACAAGCAGATCTTAGTTGACCTGCAGTTTCTGAGCATCCTCTACCCGATTCTCCAGCCGTTCGCCCACCAGCCTCTGACCGGAGTCGGCTGGAGCAGCCCAGCAGGGTTAGCAGCCTCTTGCAGTGTCTTGGGTCCCGGTTGAGCACCTCTGTACCCGCAGAGATGCTGCGGCTGCACCTCAGCACCACGCCCGTCACAGGGTTAAACCTCTAGGAAATTGTCACATCTCACCCCCGGGTGACAGCCAGGCTGAGTACCACCCACTGTCTGAACAGAAAGGAATCCTAAACCAGCTGCTGGAAGGGAGGGGAAGACCCCCCCAGATGGGGTTTTGGAGCGGGGAGGAGGTGGGGGCTGCAGAGCACGACCTCCGCTCAGCCGCCCGCCAAGTGCTGAGTTCATCCCTCATCCCCGGAGCCTTTCTCTTCCCAGCTCTCCCTGAAGAGCGTGGGCGACTGTGAGCCAGGATGACTCCGATTTAGAGAGCAGAGCATCTGAACATCTCTCCCGTGGCCGGGGGTCCTGGCAGGCCTGCTCAGGGATCTCCTTTTGGCTGCCTTCACTAAAAATTTTCTTCCAAGGAAAGGACTCCCTCTGCCTGCTGGCTACACGCTCAAGAGAGGATTGCTGCAGCCGCGGTGCCGTAGCTGACAGCAGCCCGTAAATCTGCGCGGGGAGATGTCACGCTTGCATAACCCCGGTCCTGCTGCTCTGAGCATCCCTGCATCCCCCGGCGCAGCCCACGTCCCGCCTTGCCCTTATCCTCCCAGGTTCCTGCCAGGCCACCCGATCTGCAAACCAGCTGCCCTCCGCGTGGTGCGGCCCCTCGCCCAACGCCTGCCGTGGCACAGGAGAGATTTTTGTGCTAGGACCCCCGCTCGCATGCAAAGAGATAAATGAGCTCTTTAAACCCCCCACGGTATCTTCCAGCTACAGCCAGCCATTTACAGCCAACTGCTGAACGATCCAGTGGTTACAAACATGGAGGCACTTCACGGTCATTAACTAATTAACAATCAGAACAGCCCTGTGAGACCATCACATTAGTCCTGGCCAGCGGAGAGGAGCAGCTCGTCCCAAAGCTGAGGGCCTGACACGTGCCCCCCGCCTGCGCCCGCCCGCCGCCCC